TGGGTACTCCAGGTCCGTCCTGCCTGAGGAGGATTTTTTTGGGGGGGGGGGAGGAAGGGCTGATGTCACTGGCTTCTTCAGAGCCTGAAGAACCCATAGTTGGAAGATGTTAAGCCTTTTGCCTGAGGAGGAAGGGTGGATTTTGGTGAGGTTAGATATTGATGGGAGCCGGTAGAACTTAGTGCTCGCTGTAGCTGAGTTTGTGTGTAATGCAGATGTGGTTTCAGCTACCTGGTAAATCCAGGTTCAGAAGCTGTACCGGCAGAACTTATTGTACCTCGGCTCTATACTGTTGCTCAGTTTCAGCTGGAGCCTTGTTCGTCTTGCCCCTTAATACCAGTTGACCTCAATTAATGCGCAGTTTAGGTAAAAATTACAGCACACGTGTGAAGTGAGAATAACTCGTTTTGACTGCCAATTACATTTACTCATAGCGGCTAGTGTATGGTGTGGCTTAAAAATGGTATTCTCTGCTGTGATATTTAGTACTACGTTTTTCAAAGCCAGCCCACATCTGCTATTTCCTGTTGTATTTTCCTCAGGGAGACTTCCTAAGTAAAGTAGATAGGGAGGAGTGGACTTATGTGAAGCCACACATCATATAAGTAGACTTATACAAGCCAGAGAACGAGAAATTTCCCGATCCTCCTGGATCTGGAGTTATAAATTACAGTCTGTCATGATGCTTGTGCAGTGCTGAAACTTTACCACAACCTTGGTGTGGGTCCATTCGCTGGATTCTGCAGAGTAACTCAGAAGCTGCCGTGGACAGGGCTGTGCTACTGAGAATTGTGAAATACAATGGGCTTCCTCAATGCTTTTTTAAGTAGTTGCTGGGAGCCAGACTTCACAGTTTCTATATGTGCCTGTAAGTACGTTAGGTAGCTTTTGCTTTGTAATGGTAACTGTGGTGGGAGAGGCAGGCAAGATGTGCTTGTGGCATAACAGGGTTTCTAATTTTGCTATGGATAGCAACTTTTGCAAATGAACTTGGAGAACTCTAGAGAGATCTAGTGACTAGCTCGGTTAAGGGCTCAGATGTGGAGGAAAAAAATCTTGCAAGGTCTCTGGAGGTTTGAATACTGTTGTTCTCCCTTGTTGAGAACTTAGATCTTCCGAGGCTTTAGGTTGGATTCCCAAAGGTATTTAAAAAGGTATTAAACACTTGGGGAGTGGTGCTGAGGTTCCTGGTGCTCGTGCTTTACAGGCCTTGTAGCTGTTGTACAAAATCTACTGCAAAGCACTGATGTATATTGTTGGAAAACCTCTTTTGACTGTCTGTATTCTTGACTGGTGAGTAACAGTCTCTTCTTCTGCTTTCACTTTGATAGGAATAATGTTTCCAACATGTCTGTGCAGTCGCTGCTTTGTGAAAGAATTGCTGTTGCCAAAGAATTAATCAAGAGAGCGGAAGCCCTTTCCAAGTCCCAGAAGGGGAATATAGAAGGTGGGGCAAAACTATGCAGCAAACTGAAGGCCGAGTTAAATTTCTTACGCAAGGTGGAGGCAGGGAAAGTGGCCATTAAAGAATCCCATCTGCAGAGTACAAACCTTACCCACCTCCAAGCCATTATTCAGTCAGCAGAGAACCTGGAGGGCGTTGTCAGTGTCCTCCATGTTTTTGCTTATGAGGACAGGTTTGGAGACAAACAGACACTAGTGGTAGATGTTGTTGCAAATGGAGGTCACACGTGGGTGAAGGCCATTGGTCGGAAGGCTGAGGCCCTGCATAACATCTGGCTGGGAAGGGGCCAGTATGGTGACAAAAGCGTCATTGAGCAGGCAGAGGACTTCCTGCAAGCAAGCTGTCAGCAGCCAGTGGAGTACAGCAATCCTCACATAATCTTTGCATTCTACAACAGCGTGTCCAGTCCTATGGCAGAGAGACTCAAGGAGATGGGAATATCTGTGCGGGGAGACATTGTTGCTGTGAACGCACTGGTAGAGCCATCTACAGAAAACCGACACCAAAGTGCCAGCGAATCAGATGAAGAAAGCCCTGAACTCCTGCAGGTGACCAGAGTAGACCGGGAGAATTTAGTGGCCAGCGTTGCTTTTCCCACCCAGATCAAAGTGAATGTGTGCAATAGAGTTAACTTGGACATCACTACCTTAATTACCTACGTCTCTGCTCTGAGCTATGGTGGCTGCTACTTCACCTTCAAGGAAAAAGTGCTCACGGAGCAAGCAGCTCAAGAGAGGAGGGAGAGAGTTCTGCCTCAGTTGGACGAGTTTATGGAGGGGAAAGAGCTCTTTGCCTGCGAGTCTGCTGTCAGAGATTTTCAGTCCATCTTGGAGACCTTGGGAGGACCTGGGGAGAAAGAACGAGCAGCGTTGCTCGTTAAAAGAATTAACGTGGTGCCAGATCAACCATCTGACCGTGCCTTAGGACTAGTGGCAAGTTCAAAAATCAACAGCCGTTCTCTAACCATCTTTGGGACAGGAGACTCTTTAAAGGCCATCACCATGACTGCAAATAGTGGTTTTGTGAGGGCAGCAGCTAACCAAGGTGTCAAGTTTAGTGTTTTTATCCATCAGCCGAGAGCATTGACAGAAAGCAAAGAATCTGTTGCTACACCTTTACCAAAGAGCTGCCCACCAGATAATGGACTCTAGGTCATTTAATGAGTTAGTCATTGAAATAATCTGTTCTGAAGGATGAGTTTTTTTCTCTTATGGTAGCTTATGGCAGATGCTGCAAAGGAGGCCTTTGGGGAAATGCAAAAGTCATAACAATACATGTTTTTGGTGTATATCAGTGAAAAGAGTAACTGTAGCAGTGGAAGGGTTCCTAAGGGGACTTGCAATATCTTTACTCAATTCTTGTGTTTTTGTTCAGCTGACCTACAGTAATTTATTCAGTAAGGTAATAAGTTTTCAGTGAAAATCGTTAACTGTCTTATGATATATTAATTGTATCCGTCCCTATTAAAATGTTCAGTTAAAGCACGGTTTTCCTTGCCCTTTGTCATTTTTGCCCTCTTCACAGGGATTAAAGTCACCTCCTTAAATGGACTTCAGACTTCGCTTCTGTGGAACTTAAGTCCTTCTTTCACCTAATCTGTTCCACAGAGTTCTCTGTGGATTCAGAGGTACCTCCTACAGAGACCTGTGCCTTATTGAGTGTATAGTTCATGAAGACATGACTAGTAGCCATGAATAAAAACCAGCTTAAGCCTTTCTTCTTCTTTTACTCAGAAGAGCCTCTGTATGTTTAGTGTGTTAGAGTGAATTAAGCAACAGCTTTAACATTCCTAGAAAAATCAATTGAGACTGGAGTTGTATTGGCACTAGTATGTTGGGACTCACAGGCCAAACTAACGTGGGGGAGCCAGTGGTAGCTGACCAAAGTGTGCGCGGGGCAAATTCACTTCCTTTTCTCCGTCTTAGGTTTTGTCCCATTCAAGAAACAGATTGATGCTTCAGGTAGTAGAGGGCTTCTGAACAGAGCCAGTGCCCAGGAGGTTTCAATGTTGAGGAATTCTGTACTGAGGATGCAGGGCGAGCTTGAATTTGGCTCTATTACTTCTGGGTTATTTGCAACAAAGCGAACAGAATGCTCCCTGAGGTCTTTTAGGGTCAGCATGGAGAAGCAGGAAGTTTATGGGGACTGTGGTTTATTGCTAGTTTGCTCTATAATAAGTGGGAAATTCTTTCGCTGATGTTATAAATTGCTGTTTTCACTTGGTGTTGAAGAAATAACAATTTCACTCTTTTTTTTTTGTTTCCAGGAGAGAGATGCTGTTTTAGAACCCTTTCTAATGTTTTTCTGTATGCTGCAATGCCAGCAATTGCTGTTTGGTAATAATTTGAATCAGGTTCCCAGTGGAAAATGTTGAGATGCCTATGAACCTTCTGGCCCTGAGCTATACGTTTTATCAGGTCAATGAGAGAGATACCTGCTGAATATTTTATAGGCTGTTGTTGAACAAGACAGCTTTATTTTGCAGCTTATAGTTCATGTGAAGGACATTGTCTTGCCTCTTGCCTCCTCATTCTAAATTGCAAACTTACAATCTGAAGCAGCTGCAGCACTTCAATGCTGTCCTTAGCCATAGTGTGTGCCAGTTTCCTTCTGTCTCCAGTATTCTGGTGTACTCTAGCACTGGTGTAAAAACACTGAGTACTGCACTTAGTGTGCCTTTTCCAGCTGAGTAAACTAGCACCAGGGAGCAAAGCCAAACTTTTTGCTAGTGTGAATCTTGTTGTGCTCTGCTCTGAATGTGGAATAACTTGTTAGGAGCTGTCACTTATATACCCTTGCTGTGTATCTTTACCTATAACTTTTCATAATACTTTTGATAATGGGGCAGCCTGTTCTTTACTTTGGCAGGTATTCAGCTTCACCTGGTGTTCATTCTTGCTGGTCCCTGAGGTAACCTGTGTGATTTAGCTAAAGTAGATACAAAACTGGGTTTTGTTTTTTGCTACTTCAAAACCCTTTCCTCTACTTGCCAGCTTCACAGGTCTCCCTCACTGAATTGCTCTAATAAAACATCTAATTTGTTCCTACAATCTAACGCTGTTTAACAAAACTTCACGATAGGCTGCCTCAATGTATCCATTAATTTCCTCAGAGCTCTTTTGAAGAGAAGAGAGTAGAATGTACTGAAACAGTATAAATAGTACAATATTCTGGCTGTGATAGAGAAGCACAACTCTAGCTCTGTAATTAATGCAAGTTGCATCATATAGGAGGTCAGGGAGATTTATCATAGTATGATGGATTTACCAAAGCACAACCACAGGTACTTGTGAAACTTTGCAGCGATTTACAGCTCAGTAAAGAGAGATTTCTTTTTATTTCTGCCATGAGAGCGCTTACTCAGAACACCTGAAAGACATCTTTCTACTGCAGTAGGTGTGAGACTCGAGGTGGGAGAGGCCGTCTGTGGAGATCATGGACTGTGTGTCTAAAAAACTGTGCTTCTGTTTGGTATTAGAAGTCTTGAAAGAAGGTGCAAGAAACCTCATAATAATTTATGAGTAAACAGACTATGAAAGAAGAATTTTCCCTTGTTTGCAGCTTAGAGCTTGTAAAGCTAAGGTCCCAAGAGGCAACTTACTATATTCATCACTGACTAATCTGTTTTACAATTTTACGGGATATACTTGAAGCTGAGTATGTGATATCAGTGAATTCTGCATGATAATTCACTATGGTCTTTTTTAAAAAATAAATCCTTTTAAATTGTTTAAATTGCTTTTAAATTGCTTGCGGCTTTTTTATAGGAGAAAGCTACTTTATTTCACTCCTTTTTGTGGCTCTTAAGAACGGGGTTTCCACAGTATTCCTTGATGAATCCTGTTTCCTCTTGAACACCCTCTAACGATGTTTCTGCAAACTACAGGTTTGTGTATTGAGGGAGAGAGCGAGCGCAAACGAGCACTCACTCACTCGCCCTCATTCTTACTGGTAGATGACCTAGAGGAAGCAATTAAAAACAAGTAACTTCTGTATTGCCTAATAAGAACTGGGCAAATTCTGTCTGCTGTATTTATTCTCGGTCCTGCTGCTGCAGAGCTAGTTGATTTGTTTTGTACTGACAGTTTGGTATGAACGTCTAGTGAAACTCTGTTTAAAAGCCTTTGTATCTGGAGCCATCGTGTTGGTTTTATTCATTACAAGTCAAAATACTTTTGCCCAAACATCCAGCACGATATTTATTACTAAACTAATTTTATTTGTCCTACTAGTGTATACCAACTATATGATCAATATTTTAGGAATGCAAAGCTCTTTTTTTTTTAATTATTATTATTTTGTGCTGTGTCTGCATGTTGCATGGTGCCATAAAAAGTGTGATTTTTGAGCCATTTTCCCCTATAACTGATGTTCTGGCTTATTGGTCAAACAGAAGTGCAACACTGACAGACTGTAAGAATAATTTTACAAGGTGAGCGCTGAAACTGGATGCTGATACGGAACCAAAATGTGCTTTGATTGTAACACTGAATGTTTTTTGTATTGCTTTCTAAGATGTTGGTGATCTACATAATATTAATAAAAGTTCACCGTGTTTGGGCTTGGTGCGTTTAGAGAGCTTCCATTTCATTTTACAAATGGGGAGTTAGAGGTAGGAATTTATTTACGATTTTACAAATAAGGCATTAGAAAATTTCAAGTTAGGGTTGAAAATGAGCTGGAAAAACTGGCAACCCAGGACTGCATACCCTTTCTTCCAGTATCATACAGTTGCTTTGTCTGCACTACAGCAGGCACTTGCGGATATGGAGACTTCTCATTTGCTGCAATATATTTTTGTTGTTTTTGGTTTGATTTTGTTTGTTTGTTTTTGTTTTGTTTTTTTTCCCATGAAGTCTTTCAGCGTTAACCTGCTTGATGACGAAGTGTTCCTAAACTGTTTTAGAGAACCTTGGTCTTGTGGCACTGTTTTGATTTGCGCTATCTGTGTATTGTTCTACGTTCTAAGCCTGTAATGGCTTTGAAGAGAACCAGCGTCTCTGCTCTGTGCAGCACCCAGCCTGCTCTCTTTGCTCCAACAGTAAGACTACTGAACAAGGAACGCTGCAGTTGATCCCAGGCAAAGTACTGGATATTAAACAGGAAATAAATAGGTAAGTTATATAGTACGTTCTTGTTTCTATTCTAACTTTGCATCCACGGTTTTGTGAAAAGCAGACTTTTTTTTGGATATTCCTACTTCTGTTTATTACTTACCTGTGTTCTGGCAGACAAAATTTCCAAAAAGTGACTTGTGTGTCATTGTACCTGTAAGCCATGAAAGCCCTCTGCGGTAGTTTTGCACATTGCAGCCACTATTGGGTAAATGTAGCATTCTTTGGTAGAATAATGAGCTAAAGAATAGCTTTGGTTTTGAGCTGTCCCCTCCTCTGATGCCTTTTGATAGTAAAGCACTATGCTGTAGTTTTCTGGAGCCTGTCTGAAAATATTTTTGCAACCCTGTTCCTAAATGCTGAATACTGTACATGGACTTGGTCACAAGTTAACAGTTAAAGAGCAAGAAAAAAATATATCAGTTGTTGAGAAAAAAGTTTGAGAGAAGACTTAGAAAAACTGCCCTTTTTGTTTTTTAGGATTTTTTTTGTTTTTTAATGGCGAATAGGATTTTCAATAATGACAAGGCATGTAGCTGCATTGGCATTCTTTATTTCTGATTGTTATGCAAGCAGTACAGCACACCTGTGATGAAACTAAAGTGTTACAGTTGAAGTAAGCAAGAATGAAACCGAGTTCTTGAACTGAAGGCCATGGCTACTATTTTCCTACAAGCTGTAGTTTCAGGCTGCAGTGAGTTCTGCCCTGCTGTCTGTTTTGCTGAAAGCGCTGATTGTTCATATGTGGCAAAGTCAACTCATCAGGTGAGTGTAGCTGTTGCTTTTCCATCAGGATTTAACGTTGCACTTCATTCTAGAATAAAAACAAAGACAGTGAATGTAGAGATGTTCTACAGAGTGACAGAGCTGCTTGGAATTGCGAGTTTGGGCTTTGCAAGTTTTTTCCTATGAAGACCACGGAAATTAAGATTGCTTCTATGTCGATTATTGACGTTTATTAAAAAGACAAAACAAACAACATCCTCCCCTGGCCCTGAGTGTTCAGAAGATCCTTCTGTCCACTTAAAGGATCCTTATTTATAATGTCTTTCACAAAATAAATTCCTCCCTTTTTAAAAAAAGAAAACAGCCCAAAAGAATTAACAACATCTAATAATGAAGCTGTGTCCCTTTATTCCTAAATGAGGCTGAGT